CTATAATTTACCTGATTTTATATAAATCTGACCAAAAACAGGTTAAAATCTCTCTACTTGGCCTTTGACTTAAAAAAAGGTGTTTTTAAGCATAAATATACATGGTTGGCCATTTTTTTTTATCACCCTACCACAAATATATAAAAGAATGGTTATAGTAACACATTTACATGAGTTTATTTGATTTTTTACAATGATGTTCACCCTGTACGGAGCCCAAGAGCCACTCAAGGTAGAGGGTTACAGAGTAAGAGGCAAAGAATATACAGATATGCGTGGAAGATATTGGTTAATCCTAGACTTAGACCGGTCAATATAGTAGCGATTGGAGAAGCAGCAGTTTGTGGGAAGAGGATGCTAGGGTAGAACTTACATCTCACTAAAGGAATGACGGTGGTTCGCTATAATGTGTGTGGTATGGTGGGTCTTAGCCATGAAGATTAGAACTAGTGGAACTAATGAGTGTAGTTCATCTGAAAAATTTTCATGGAACTAGTGATAGAAGAACAAGAAGCTTACAAAGTATCATCTGTGAATTGATCTTAGTATTCAAAGTGGAATACTAAAGTAACTGTTAGCAGTTCTAGAGCAGCCTATTTTACCCAGAGCACCTTTTTCACCATAAGCTAGGATGACATCCCCCACCACCATTTCCAAGATTGTTTGACTCAAAAGCTGTACTTCAAATAATATGTATATATTATTGAAAATCTTCATTCTTTTTCCTTTTTAAAGTACATCTACATTTACATGGATTATTTTTGCAATGGCAAAAAGCACAAGAACTTGCAGATAGAAAACCCAACATGACTTCTCAGTTGTGTAGACTGATGCACATTGCAGGTTTTCCTACCTTAGGAGTTCAAAAGTTCTGACTCTACCAATCTGTGGCTCCAATTCCCCACCTGAAACCCTGACATTCCCCCATTAGGGGAGAGGGGAATTCCCCACTGGGTGAGAACCTTTGTACTAGAGAAGATATAAAGAATAAATTAAAACGCATACATATCAAATAATATATCCTAAATCTGATAAATCATTCAGCTTCTATACAGTATATATTTTGGTATATAGGCTTTTGTAAGGTAGTACTGCTAGCCCTATTCCCTTTTTACTATTCTTAATTATAGTTGGTGAAGTAGAAAAAGATTGATTTTGATTTTTCTATCCAAGGCTAAATAGCCCAATCTGTTCTGTTATTTTAAGAATAATAATCCTGGATTCTTGATTTAATTGATCCTTCAGCTTGCATATTGGTAATATTTTAGCAAATAGTTTTTTCCAAGGTGAAATTGTTATCTCCATTCCCTTTTGTCATAGCTGATTTGAAGAGATCCCATCCTGGTTTTAACTGATTGCCAACTAAGGTTAAGGAGTCAAGTTTCTAGTACTGGTTAATTCATAATTTAGAAAATACAAGAGATAGATTCCATTCTTTTCCAAGGGTATTAGTGCAAAGTAAAGATAAACTATCTCAGAATTTGAACTCTGAATAATGATTTCAATTTCTTTGACATTAACCATCAAGCTACATGTATTTCTGCCATCATATATTCTGTTTTTTTAAATAAAAAAAATGGTTCTAAGTTATTGGCTCTAATTCCTGTGCACATTAAAATAGCTATCCCCTGCTTTTTTAGAGGAAGAAACTTAGGGGGAAAAAAAAAGAACAAAGAATCTTATTGAATGTCAATGGATTCTCAAATGTTTAGCTGCTCAATACAAACATTCAATAATCAAGTAACAAAACTAGGCTTCAGTTATGCTACCAAGCAGTTTCTTATAGCTCCATCCTTGAAAAGCTGGTATTGTCAGTGTTTACATTAATCACTATGGGATGTCTCTGTTTACTTAAAGTATTATGGGATGCTGCTGTTTACATTAAGTATTATGGGATGTCATTATTTACCTAGAGTATTATGGGATGTTACAGTGATATTAGCATGGGGGATAGTGGGGTTGTGATTAACCTCACAGTAACATCCTATAATAGTATTTAAAGAGACAGACAATATGTTGCTAGTTACCATCACCAGCATTTGTAATAACAGCTGTAATCCCTTTGTCAAACTAATTCTGTATTAGACAAACACTTAATACAAATGTACAGAAAAAATATCCCCCTGTGTATAGTGATCTTGCATAAATACTCATCTGCTATGCTAAAAGCATTATTAATTATAAAGAAAAAGTAAGAAATACATACACAATTCTTGCAGATGAAATTTGACAAAAAACAAGTCATCTTTATGTTTGATGTAAAGGATTTTAAAATTTTGTGACATAAAACTGCCAAGTTAAACAGGATCAATGAAATTAATGTAGGCACATTGTGAAAATTTACAAGCATGCTACTATACTAAATATACATTTTACTTATGAAACAATGATACATTAACTATATAACAGTAAAATAATTTAATTTTTGTAATCTTCACATTGTGAATATATGTGTCTTTAATTATTCTTATTATTCTATATGTCCTGTCCCCTCAGGACGTTGGCAATCATGGCTCGCCACAATTTCCTGTCCTTTGTAGCTCTTAATAAATTTTGTCTTTTCGCTATGTCTCCTAAACACTGTTCTGTCAACTATTTACACAACTTTTCTTCTTCTATGTGCCGTGACCCTTCAGGACATTTGGCGATCACGGCTCACACAATTTCCTGTCCTTTGTAGCTCTTAATAAATTTTGTCTTTTTGCTATGTCTCCTAAACACTGTTCTGTCAACTATTTACACAACTTTTCTTCTTCTATGTGCCGTGACCCTTCAGGACATTGGCGATCACGGCTCGCCACAATTTCCTGTCCTTTGTAGCTCTTAATAAATTTTGTCTTTTTGCTATGTCTCCTAAACACTGTTCTGTCAACTATTTATACAACTTTTCTTCTATATTTTTGTTTCCATTTTCTCTAAAACTTTGTCACTGCTCGATTGTTCAGTCCATGGTATTCTCAGCTTCCTTCTGAAGAACATTTCTGTTGCTCTTCAAGTCTCTTCATCTTTGAGGAGATTTTCTAGCATTCACTGCCATATAGTAGGACTGATATTAGTAGTTTAGTTTAGTACTCTTATTTGTTTCAAATAACATTTTTAAATACTAGTCTTTAATTTTACATCCTGATATACATATTTCAAAAATATTTTGCCACATATAATGATCTTAAAAATTAGAAAAATTTCATTTCAGTCAAATAAAATTTTTAGCAGTAATTCATATTTTAGTATATTTCACTAATTAACAAAATGATCTGCAAAAATTAGTACACTGCTAAAAACCATTTTAATTGCTCAAATAGTTTATATAAAATGATATGGCTGCTTGTTTCATGTACCAAGTTCCTTTAAGACTGGCACAGTCATGGCTCTCCACAAGTTCCTATTCATTATAGTTCTAAGTAATGTTTGTCCTCTTACCATTCCCTCCAATACCTATTCTGCCATTTATTTTTACAAGTTCATTATCCAGGTTAATCAATGTTTCTTTCTGTATTTGTCTTTGTTATATCCTGTGAGTGTCAAATTCTCCAAGTCCTTTTTTCTCATTATGCATCCCAAAAATCTTATTCTAAATATATTTGTTCTTTTGTTTCTATCTTCCTTAAGACTTCTTTGTTGCTCACATACTTCATCCATGTTATTCTCAACATCCTTCTGTAGAACCATATTTCTGTAGCCTTGAGCTAAATCTGCGAGGAAATTGTCCAATATTCACCGCCATATAAAAAAATGTAATGTCAATTTCAGCTTATATTATCTACTTTTTTTTTTTTTTAGAAAAATTTAAAATAACTTATTTGGTGGTTTAAGATCTTCTACAACTCAATGAATGTTTATCATATTATATATATAAATAAGAAAGAAAGAACAGTAAGATATATAATCTGGTGTTCTTATAGATATTTTTATTTTTACAAAATAGTGCTCAATGTAAATGTACAGAGCATTAATATTATAAATTAATTGATTTAAAATTTGCTTGAGGATGAAATGGGACTAATGTCTAATTTAATTACAAAATTAAATTCGGAGCTTTTAGCTTCCATTTTTGAAACATGGTTAGAACTGTAGTGAAAAAAAAACATATTTTAAATCAATTAATATATATATATATATATATATATATATAATATAGTTACTGATATGTGTTTTTAAATGTGTCATAAGAAGGATATATGCTCAAACATGAAAAAGATGCTGTTTTTTTTGCCCCATTATTCAATAACTTTACAACTTTAGCAATTAAAAAAAAATCACATTGACCAGGGGTGAAAGGACATTAGTTAAAATAACTGTTGGGCCACTGATAGCAATACCAGCAACTCTCTGGTGGCAGCCACTGGTGAGCCAATGGTGGCCCACAAGTAGTAACATTGCCAAGATGAACACACCGGCAGTCTGACAGTATGCCACCAGTGGTAAACGCTTGTGGCAAATTGGTGGTTTGTATTTAGGGAAAGTAGTACATGAAAACTGATTTTTCAATTATAATTTTAGTGATGAATTTAGAGTTATAGTGAATAGACATTATGACTGATATAGATGCTATGACTTTCATGGGAGTAATCAATTAAGATAACATAGAAAACAGGAGATATATTTATAATATATTAATATTTGGGGTTGGTAACAGGAAACTATATGTCCCTTTCATTTAATGATAGTTCAAGACAAATGTGCATAATTATTGTAACTCTTGGGCAAGAAGTTTTTGAGTGGTACAGGTCATGAAGAAGTGTTACTATAAAGAGAGTATATTCATGCATGAAAACAATGATCTTTCACATTCTGCAAAGCTGGCTATTGCCCAACTTGCCAAAAAAAAAAAAAAAAAAAAAAAAAAAAAGTTTAAAAAATAGCAAAATGCTGCATGACTCCACATATTAATCCAATAGAAAATGTAGTCCATCATTAAAAGAGATGTATGTAAGAATGGAAAATGATTATTAAAATTGTTCAAAAGTAAGAAGAAAAAGATTTAACATCAAGTGACTTACCTTATCGTCAAGTTGTACTGCCATGACGTTTGGTCGCCTGGTGTCTTGAGGTTCGTGGATGTATTTCATCCAGTGGCCTTAAACAAGGAGAAATTAAGAAAGAGGCTTCACTTCACCAGAAACAAACTGAAAAAAAAAAAAAGAGAGAGAAAAATGATTGACTTGAAGGTGAAACTGAACTTTCCCCTGTTCAAAAGTAAAGAAAAGTAGCATAAAAAATAAACATTTTTGAGTTGATAAATTAATTATTAAAGAATTAAATTTAAACCACTCTTAAATCCTTGGAGTAGAAAAATAAAAATCTCAATTTAATTTAAAACAAAACACCCCAAAACAGTATAAATTTAAGCAATATATTGTAACTAGTACAGTAAGCATTTATGTACACACACACACACATACATATATATATATATATATATTATTTGCATCATGTGTTATTTTTAGTGGATACTTGTATTTGAGTAGTTGCTGTGTTTATTTATTAAACTGTATATTTATTTATTTCATCTAGCAGCCTGAATATTTGAGAAATCTTATTAAAGAAAAACTTGTATCCTTCAGTAGGAATTGAACCTGTGTACCTCAGGGTAGAGGAAGCAAACATGTACATTTACTGTTCATGAAGAAACAGAATATTCAGGGTAGTAGGTGAAAATAAATAAATATACTGTTTAATAAATAAACAAAGTGCCTACTCAAATACAAATATATATATATATATATATATATATATATATATATACATACACACACACACACGTGTATTATGTGAGCATATGTATTTCAAAGGCATGTGTATGTCTCTCTCCCTCTCTCTCTATATATATTTTACAATGATATACACCTTGTACAAGCCCAAGAGCCACTCAAGGTAGATAGTTACATATAAAGAGGCAAGGTTTATAGGGACATTTGTGGAAGATAACAGTTAACCCTAGATTTGGGAAAGTTAAGATTGTAATGGTTGGGGAAGCATCCTTCTGGGAGTCAGTTCCAGAAAGCAGTAGTTCATAGGATGAAGTTGCTTGAGTCAAACTTGCATCTCACCAATGGAATATGAAGCGATTGTGGGTGTTTGCTACAATGTGTGTTTTATGGCAGGTCTTAGTCATGAAGGTTGGAACTGGTAGAACTAAGGAATGTAGTTCATCTGAATACTTTACATGGAAACGGTGATATAGCTATATATATATATATATATATATATATATATATATATATATATATATATATATGTATTTTATTTTTTTTTATACACACTTCAATATGCAACCCCTTGGCTGCTTCTCTTGCATTACAACAACTTCCAGAATTATATATGATTCAGTGCAAAAAAAAAAAACAAAACAAGAAAAACCCCCAAAAAACAGTATTCTGGAAGCTATTATAATAGAAGTGAAGCAGACGACTATATATATATATATATATATATATATATATATATATGTGTGTGTGTGTGTATATGCACACTGATATATCCTGATGGAGAGTTACTGTAGATCAATTTGATTAAAGAGTCGCAATGGACATTTGGCCTTTTCTCCAGTAAAGACAGTCAAGTGGAAAGGACATTTATTTTAACTGATCAGATAGCCTACAAGTTTATATCAATGTCTATTGAATATTCTATACCCAGTGGACTACACTGACTGAAAAGGCACACTTTTTATCCTTTTGTTTTCTATTAAGTTTTTGGTTTTCTGAACAACACAAAAAGTGAGGACTTCACTTGTGATTCTAGTAATTTGTTGTTTTGTTTCTCCATGGAATCCATTATATAAATTCATTCTGATGATATTAAATAGGCATGAGTGATTCCCTGTTTATTGTCACTGTAGCACATCCACTTTGAATTCTTCAGAGAATGCATTGATTTCTTTTTGTTTATGCATTTGTAGAAAAAAAAAAAAGGAATGTGTCTGATTCTATCATCCATTTGCAAAAAGAGAAAAAAAACTAAGAATACTACTGTTTATAAATTATGAATGAAAAGACAACATAAGTTTGAGCTAACACCATATGTAAACAATAATAAATGATAAATTAAACAATAAAAGTAATAAATAAATAATTATTATAAAAAAAACAATACAAAATAAGAGATAATTAAAAAAATCTAGAATAAAAACCAGTAAGAGTAAAATATAAAAAAAATATATAAAGATAAATAGTAAAAATTAATAAAATAAAAAGATAAAAATATATAATTAAAATGAAAGAATTACAAAATGTGTTTCTTTGTACCTACTAGCAAAATTGTCACAGGAATATTTTCATATTATAAAAAATATATATTTACCTGACCTTTCAATATACATTTGTACGAAGGAGTTTCAGAAACATTTTTAATAATACAAAATATTTTACTTTAATTTTGAATAAGACAGGAAAAATTTACAACAGTCTTAGCTAATTTTTTCTATGATTTATAAATTATATATAATTGAAGTAATTTTTAATCTTTCATTTAAAGGAATTTAAATATATTCAGATAAAAAATTAAAAGGGTTTTAACCTAAATACAAATTATCATTACTCACTAACAGTGATTAAGTCTATTCAAGTAATTTAATCTTTATAATTCACTAATAATCCATATACGATATATAGTCATTTTATAAACTGACTTTATGTATAGTACAACACCTGAATTTTTTGCATGAATTCTAAATCCTTCAGAA